GCAAGGCTTGGTTCATTTATTCTCATTTCTTAGTCACTGGATAATGTATAATTTTGGAAGATCTTTGTTTTTCCTGCAGGGTCGGTGCAGGAAATCCTTCCTGCAATACTCTGCTCTCTTGCAGCGTAAGTTCTGCAGCCTCACTGCAAACAGTACGGTGCAGGAACGAGCAAAATGGGAACGTGGCTTGTGCAGAAGAAAATGGTCTTGTTTGAAAGAATGCCTGACAATTACACTCAATTATATTTTAAAACCTTTGTTCAATGTATCAGACAAATCAGTGCCTCAATCCAAGTGTCACCTGAAGGCAGGACTGAAGTCTCAGGCTTTTTAATTCATGTAGCGTGATCAAGAAAAGTTTACTTTTGATCAAAGCAGGAGCAGCCCAACTGCAGATGATCAAAGACTGAGGAGTTAGCTGGTGTACTGGGAAACCAAATCTGTCTCTCCCTAGCAAGCTCAGTAAGCTGCTCAGCTGGAGGTGAGGTTGCAATGGGAGACATGAAGGTTAGAAAAGAAGAAAGTCTCAGTTAGTCAAAAATGGAAAATTACAGAGTGAATAGCATCTCATTTCTGGGCATTCAGTACTGACAGCCATAAAAAAAGAGTCCTCTCTGAGCACTTGCAGCTTTTGTGGTGTTCAGATACAGGATTTGATCCTGGAAAAATGTTGTAGATTCGAAAGCTACGATTGACTTGAATGGACATAGAGCAGTGAGTCGTGTGTAGTGCCTGGTACCCTGGGAAAACGCAGTCCCGCGTGCAACTGTGCTGTTTGTTGGGATTTGGTTGTAGTTGTGTTCCCTATTGTAAAGAACCATGAATTCTCGTGTTGGTTTTCCCGTAGGCTTGCGACCTTTGAGGGATAAAAATTATTTAGATTTCAGCAGGGGAAGCGAAGGCAATGCAGGGAGAGGACATTCTGGCGGTGACATATCAACTCTGTTTTATGGATATGAAACATGACTGTCATTCTTGTAAAGCTGAAACACAGCCCTTTTCCGTAGGAAAAAGAGTAGCATAGTCAGGTTTGTCACTTGTCACTAATCAAGAGCATAAATCAAAATAAACTGCACTACACCCTTGCTTCTTAGCTGGATATCAGACTGAGGAAGATGATGGGGAGGACAGTTTCCATTTGTGCTAATTAAGCTTTCTGACAGGCAAATGCACCTTCATTCACAGGGAACTACATGGTTTAGAGTGGGAGTTAATAGGCAGAAGCAGCATTCAGAGCCCAGGGAGTGGTTGAGACTGATGTTTCCTCTGGGAGGGTGCGGGGGAGCTGGTCTCCAAACTCTCCCAGCAGGACCAGACCCTGCCGAGCGGAGGAGCTGGGTTTAAAGGACATCTGCGGGGGTTGAGGGAACCCATGTTCCTTGTGCTAGAGCCCGGTGTTGTGCAGAAGCTGTATTCTGGGAAAGTATAATGTGAAGCACTTCTGCGGGAAGGGCTTGGCCGGTGCTCCAGGGAGCTGCCTCTACTAATTTGCCTCGGTGTCTGTAGCAGGAGGGGGATTGCTGTGAAGCAAATAAATAGCATGAACACTCCTGGGAGAAAGAGAGGAAACTTTCTTTTTTTAGTCTATTGACCAGATACTGTCTTGCAAATTCCTTAATGCTTGTTGTAGCATCATTAATGCTTGCATCCTAAGTGCTGCAGCATCAGTAGCATTAACACTAAGGAGGCTTAGTGTCTGGCTGTCTGCTTCAGATGTGGTTCAGGGCTTATGAATGACAGCCCAGATGATGATTATTCAGTGGCTCAGGCATACTGAGATAATTTCAATCGAGCTCACCCCGTGGCCAGTAGCATCTTCTCCCCACTTGGTGCAGAAGTGACACCGCCGTCGGTGTCACCTGCCTTTGCTGCAGGAGGCACGTGTCCCATTGGCAGTGTGCCATCCAGCCTGTTTCACGGGGCCTCCCTCTGCACTTCCACGAGGTGCCAAATGGTGAATTCGACACTCCCAGTGACTCTGCTGGAAAAGCTGGAGCTATTGTGAGAGTTAGAGACTTGCAGGACAGCCCTGTGCTTGTCGAAGCTGTAAGCTAATGGAATAACTCTCCTGCAAATGCAATGCTGCCTCATGGATTTCCTTTCAGATCCAGAAGTGGTTTATTTTTTACTTAATCCTTCCCTCCTTACCCTTCTGCCTCTTTGGTAACACATCCTTTTTCATTTCTGTTTTTTGTTTGTGGATTTGGGTAAACAGGCAATGATCAAAGGGAATCTCTGGGACTCAGGAAATTTCACCTCTGTTACATAAAATGACATCTTTGTCTCCAATGCCGTGGGCTGAAGCCAGCTTTCCCCCGCTGCGGCATTCCCACGTGATAGCATGTGCTGTTTGACTTCCAAGCTGCAGTTCTCTAACTTAGCAGCAGAGCCAGAAGTGCACAGGAAAGATAAAAATACATGTTAATCTAGATTTTTGCCATTCATATCTGTCCTGAGGCACATACAAGGTACTGAAATCCAGTGTTAGATGAAAGGCGAGGATGAGGCTGATAGCCATTGCTATCCCCCTTACGCCCAAAGAGGTAGGACTGGTGTGTAACGTGCTGAGCGTTGCGTGGGGTTGCACCCCTGCCTCTAGCTGTTGTGTAGAACATGCACACTCAGGGTCCCAGCCTTGTCCGACTCAAAGAACCAAAAAGTAAAGAATGGATACCGCAAAATACAGTAAGAAAAGTTAGTATTGCAGGAGGATGAAAAAGTTGTCTGGACTGGTAGCCAGAGGGGACTCCTTCACCCCTATAAAATTCTGTGGCCAGCAAGAAGTCCTATGGTGTTGGCTCCACAGAGAGAAATTTCAGTTTAGTTTTGGAAACTTACCTGGAGTACATCCACACAGGGCTTTGGCCTGGTGCAACCAGGTGAGCTCTTTATCCAGTTTCAGTTGGAGCAGCTTTCAAAATACACAAGTTGCTCAGCTCCAGCTCAACAAGGCAAGCATGCAGGAGGTGTGCCAGTGCAATGGATTTCAGCTACTCCTTAGTAAAGGCTGAATGTCCAGGTGAACGACTGAGTTGGAAGGAGAGCTCAAGCCTTTTGGTGAGAGACCAGATGAAGGTTCATGTTGCATGAACTTCGTCTCCCTTCTGGAGGCTGAGAAAGTCTTTTCCCAGATTTGTCACTCGTTGTGGAGTGCTTTAAATACATAATTTCCTCTACAAAATTCATAAAAATATATTTGTTGCCTTGAAGACTATGCAAACACATTTCCAAAGTCACATTTTTTAAAGATTGCTGAGCTATTGTTTGTTTCTGACAGTAATCAGTTTACTTCTTTATTAGGAATTTATCATGTTGTCCTGCCACCTTCTAGGCATGGCCTTCTTCCTTCAAGTCTCCAGCTTTGTGTCTCTCACTGGATCACAGAAATGATTGGTTTGGCATTTGGCAAAGCTGAGGCGGTGAAAACCTCAGGGAGGGGTGAAGGAGACACATCCTAAAGCAACATTTGACAGGATAGAAACATTCCCAGTTGGTAGCAGATTGCTTTGGGAAACTCTTGGGCTTTTTCCAGTCGCATACTATAGTCCCTTTCTCCCTTCTGTAGGTTTCTCTCTTCCCCGCATTATCAGATTGATTTCTGGATGTACTTAAAAGGCAAAATTCAGAAGCTGTTTTTAGTTGCTTCTGGCCTTTGGAGGCCCTGTTGGAGATACCTGGAGATGTTGTTTTCCAGACACTCTTCCTTCCTACAGTTCTCCTGGGAGGTGTGAACACTTAGCACTTCTCCAGAACAGATCAGTTTTGGATCCCCCAAAATTTTTATATTAACTATAAACATGAACTACTAAGGAAACTAACGAGGCTTTCCTTCTTAAGTATTATATATTCAGACCTGAACAGACATTCAGGTCAAACATGAATTTTGATGTTATTTTAAAATGACACAAAACCAAAATATTACATTTCCAACGATGGTTTAAATAGAGCTCTTCCAGGAATCTTGTATTTTTCTTTCATATTGAAAATTCAAAAGATAGTTTGGAGTTACAGCCTCATGAGTTCTGAGGTTTTAAAGGATCCATCAAAATAACTTGCTCTAGCCTTGGTCATAATACCTATTCCTTCCAGGTTGTCTCCTTGTATTTCTTCATTACGCTCGTAACTGCTGTATGGGTATGCGCAGTTCTTAGGTATTAGATTTTAATACAGACTTCTAATGATAAGTGGCGAAACTGATACAGAGCTTGGTTTAAATCCTAAATCTTTTCTGTCATTTCAATACAGTCTCACTGAATTCACTGGACAGCCTGGGCTTTCTCTGGCCCCTAAACATGAGTAGCTACCATTGTGTTTTGTTTTCCCTTCACTCCAGTCTGATGGCTAAGGTAGAGGAATTTAACCAAAAAAGTAAATATTTGTGTCTATATTTTAATTAAGAATAGCACTGTCATTTGTGCTGTGTCTGAGCATTCAAATCCTTTTGTTCTCAAAACCATCTCAAATGTTTTGAGAAGAAAATCCCAGCTTCCCTTCCCGTCTGAATATACCAAAAGAGTAAATCCCAACGAAAAGCTCAATTGCATAGAGGTATGCAACAGTCTCCACAGACAAGATGCAACCTCCAGCACTTTGCTTTCTGCCTAAGAGCAAAATTTAAGGAACTGATTTTTAAACTCTCAGCACATTCAGACACCCAAAGGATGGGAACAACGTCCCTTAAGTGATCAGTGCTTTTCCCCTGACCTTCAGTGGCAGCTGCCATGTGCTGACTGCTGGAAAAGGTAGCTGGTCCTTGTTGGTGCCTACAAGACAGATGAACGCTTGTAGAGATGGACAAAGTGGACATGGGTGGCTGTTCTACAATCAGCAGTGACATCTGTGTTTTCCTGTGAAGTAATAACCTGCCTATGGGCCAGACAGGGTAGTCTCAAGTCAGGCAGAAATCATAAATGACAACTTTAAGCAGATTTCTGTTGATGTGTAAGACAAGTATTCCAGTCTAAGGCTTATTTATAATCTTTTTTCTTGTCCTTCTTCAGGTATTTTGAGTTTTATGAAGGGCCTTTGGAGTACAACTCTACCAAATGCCTGGAATTACGGCAGGACATCATTGAGGTGAAGGTTTTGTCTATGTAAGTATGAATGAATGTTTGCTAAAAGGTAACTTCTCAGGCAGGATGAAAATGATAACTTACAATAAGATTGTCAAAGATGCAAGACTTAAGAGATCCCATCAACAGGGATCTCATCAGGGATTCCTGAGGTTCTCTTATATGTGCAAATAGTCACATGTGAATTTGATCTGAGGTCCGTTTGAAAAAACCGGAGGCATTTCACGTACATTGAGGCATTTTGGTCAGGCCCAGTATCATTGGTTAGAATGAAATACAGTGTAATATTATTTGTAATGTTATATTCCAGGCCCTCTACTGAGGGTAACTGAAGAGTAAGAATAGCCAGACGGACTCATAGCAAGTGTCTATCTAGCCTAAGGCTCTGTCATTGACCCTGGCCAGCAGTGAAGGCTAAGAAATGAAGGAAAAAGGTGAGCCCTTCCTGATAACAAATAATGACTGGGATGAGGACTTGCTGAGTGGTAGGTGGTGACTAGACTAGTCAGAGTGGACAATAGACCTTTCTGTTAATTTGTTTAGATCTTTTCTGAGCCCATTTGTACTTTTGACCTCCACAGGTTCCTGCAGCAGTGAGTTTCGTAAGTTAATAACACTCACTAAGAAGTAGGAAAATGTGATTCTGAGAAATAATAAAATATCTATATTTTGTCTTTTGTGGTCCTATATGTACATCAGAAAACTAATGAGTTGAATGAGATGTATCCATGAAGCCATAGGGGTGGAATCAGGCAAAAAAGTGAGGTTGCCAGTGGAGCTCACTGGACAGAGCAAAGCAGGGTATTTTTGTGTCGCCCTTTGGCATTTTCAGCATTGCACTGAATTTAGCTGCTTAGATTATGCCTAATCCCTTACCATATCTAAACCCAGTGGTTTAGTAATCTTACCAACAATCCACAAGGCTTATTAAGGTCTGTAAAGCGCACTGAGAATCTCAATTGAAAGTGCAGCTATACAAGCTCATAGCATTAAGCAATCAAGGCTACAGCAAATACAATTTGTTGCTCCAGGTCAGCATGACTTTTGAGCATGTCTCCCTCGCTGACTTTGTGCATGGAAAAATGTAGGTTATGTCCTTCTCTTCTGTATTTGGTACTGGATGAAGGATACACAAGTAACAACTTTGCACTGCTTGCTGACTTGCAGTGCTTAAAAATAAAAAGAAGGGGTGAGAATGTGACACTTCTGCCAATGTTCTGCTGAAGACAGGGAGTTTTGAATTGCTTTTCTGCATACTTATCAGATGGTACAGAGAATGACTTGTTTCTCTTCATCTTATCCAATGGCACATAGAAGGTAGTGGACTCCTGCTCAGCTGGATAGAGTTAGCCTTACTTTTACGATAGATGCCATTTGTCATTAAGTTCTTTTACTATGCTGGGTTCTTCTGATGTGCTTGCTTCTAACGTGCTACATTTCCTAAGTCAGCCCTTACTGTAATGGAAGATTTCCAAGTTAATGTGCTCTGGTGGGCTACAGAAAGTACAATATGACCTAATTCCTTCCTGTAACTTCCGCAGCCTGGGAAATCCTAAGTTCTACTCACTTTAAATATATAATTATCTTAAAAGTCTTTGCTTTATTCAAACATTCAAAGCCCTCAAGCCTGAAGAAAACTCATTAAGACCTATCAGTCTTGAAGAAATCTCAGACTTCAAAATTTCCCAGCCAGATTATGACATTGCTCCCTAGCTCTAGGTATTTGCAAGGCCTTCGTTATCTCTGTTGTCCAAATACAGAAGAATATGTATGAACTCTAAGGTACAAGTGGTTGGAATGATATCACCAAAAATGTGTCATCCTGTATCAGTCTAGTGGAAGTAGGGATGTCATTTTTTGATATAACTAAAACTATATTTATTAACAGAGGGGGAGGGAGAGATCCTTACGTATTAAGATAACCTCACCCAAATGTAATGGCTGTTGGCCAAATTATCTGAAGTATCCTCTTTTCCAGTACCCCCTCTGCTGGGCCCTTCTGCTAGGTGCAACTTTTCCCCCCAAAGCCGCTGTAGTTGCCAGACACTCATTAGCTTCCCAGCAGACTGCGGACAGACTTTGGTACAGTAGATGCTTCTTGCTTGATATTGCATTTTTTATCCTGAAGAAATGGAGAATGCCTATCAGGGAACAGAAAGCAGTCCCAAACTTCTGAAGAGCTCCATCAGTACCTGTGTATACATGGCTTAGAGTTGCTATGTCTGAGCAGAAAAAGAAATAAAAATGATAAATTTTGCACTGGATAGACTGGCTGGTTTGCCCTATCAAAAGCCTACTGCATGGTACCCTGGCTGCAGCTGTTTTAGGAAATGAAGCCCTTGTAATAAAGTGAATTTTCATTTTCTTTCTTTTTATCTTTTAGGGTGAAACAAACGGAATTGTTTGACAGATGGAAGAGCCTACAGATGTGCAAATGGGAGATGAATGTCACAGAAGCTAATTTATTCAAGTAAGAATGGTCCACATTAATGAGACTGAGTATGATTTACTTTAGTTTGAGTTTAAGAGATCAAACCTTCCTATGGATAGCAAGAGTAAGCATTATAACACTGTTACTGTTGGAGTACCATCCTTTTGAATAAATATGGACTTTTTTTTACTTTAAAAAAGTCAACAGCAAGAGTGAAAGAGAGCTCTTCTGGCGCGTGGGACAGTCTTCCCAAGAAAGGCAGGGAATTTGGTATGGGAAAGACTTTTCCAGGTATGATTCAGGCAGACGTGAGGATGGAGCCAAGACTTAATGGCTGCACCCAATACATCAACCTAACTCTCTGGTGGTGTAAAATGGTAATATCATTGGTGACACTGCAAATTTGGCCTACAAAATACTCAAACCGGATTTTTTCTGTGGTGTATTAGGTACTGCCAGACTTCGTTTATCACTTCCTTTTTTTTAATGGCTTCTCAGCTATTACTCCCTGACTGTCTAGATATTTTTTCTGGTCTTCGGAGACCTCTGCAGTTTGTTTCTGTAGTACTCGGTCTTTCTTCATGTGACTTCCTCTTTGCTGAAGGTCATCCATGGTCCTTTCAAGATACAGCTTTTGAAATTGGTCTTGTGAAGGCAATAGTAGAATGAAGCCAAGACAATATTTTAATGTTGTATCAATATACATCAATATTCATATATTCAAGGGCCATATTTGAGTACGTCTAGAGAAACCACATTAATTCAGAGTAAGTAGAATATAGGCTGGTTAAGTCTGTAAGTCACTGACATGATTCAGAGCTGTTGCTTAGAATAAGACCCCACAACTTTCTCCCAAATTGGCTTGCATGATTCCAGGAAATAGCTGTCACAAGTTAATGAGACAATGTGAGAATGCATGTGCTGAGTTAGTCATTAACGTCTTTAAAAATAACTAATGGTTAGTCCTGGGCTCATAGCAGTTTTTCCAGCACGAGCTCCACACATACATAAGTTTTTTTAGGGTTTTTTTAGTATATTTTTTTCTGGAAATTACTTGATGGGCAATTATCAGAGCCCATTTTGAAGACAAGATCCATTCAGGATGAGAGCCTACTACCTTAAAGACTGCTGGGAGTAAGAGAACTAATGATTGTGCCCAAAGTGCAAGGAGCACATTGCAGTATGGAGGCCAGCCCAGAGGTGGGAGCAATAAGAAAGGAATATCTAAAGACCATCAGGAGGACCATCACTCTCTCTCAGGCCACCAACACCAGCATATTAAGCAAAGAACCCCTCTCCATCCTAGAGAGTGCCTTGAGAGAAAGAAGAGATGAAAGAGTCCTGCCGCTCGCTATACCTGCCTGACTGATATATCACTGCTTAAGAAACTCCCACTGGTACCTAGATGTAACCTAACCTTTGTTAGCTGGTTCCAGGAACAATAATCATGCTAGTTACAAAAAAAAAAAAAGTTCAAAGTCTGTCTCATTTTTGTCTTATGGGACAGAGACTTCAGTGTGTGAATGTGTGGGGAAACTATAGTCCCTTAAAAGCAGACCAAAGTCTCTGAGGTTGGAGGGTAGGCTAGTAGGAGGCTAAAAGGTGGTGGTCTAACAACACTGAGTTGTGGGATTTCAAACTTTGCCAGTTCTGGACCATCAAGCGAGATGGGGAGAATCCAGCAAAAGTTAAATAGCAGCAGGGAGGGAGGGAGCACAAAAATCACACTAGCTTTTGTATCTGGAGACTAAGGAAAACAATTTCCTTGACAGTCTTCCTCCATCAGATGCGAAACATTTACACTAAGGAACATGCCTCTGGAAAACCAATTGGACATTAGATTAAAGAACAACATCTCTTTCAATTCCTTAATCCAGAACTAATGAAGAGTTTTTTCATATCTCAAATATCATAATTCAATCCCACTACCTGCTTGTAATTATTTAATGATTTTGTTATTAGAAATTATTCATTGACTTATTCAGTCTCAATTGGTACCTTGATCTGATCACCATATTGTGTCATTCTGCATGAGTCAAGTCTATAACAGTAATTGGACATCACTGAAATGTTTGCATAATTCTGTATTTGCTTTCTGGTGCTTGTAATAAAGCCCATAAAGAAGACTGGCTTATTCTTCCAGCTCATAATGAGGCCACATACCCGAGAGGCAAGGTATTTAATCTAGGTTATTTGAGAGCCATTTGGCTTTGTCTTCATGTTTGTGCATTTGCCATGACATGTATTTTTCATTAAAGTGTAAGATGCATTGACTGAGAAACGAACCAGCTCTGGAGTAAGAGTAAGCTGAAGTCAGGGCTTTCAGTTCCACCAGTAAAAGGAGAAAAGCATTCAGGGAAAGATGGGAGCTAAGAAATGGACCCCTATTTGGAAAGCTGCTTTTCCTATTTAAATGTCATATGAAACTTATGGTAAGGGGATCAGAGCTGAATGTTATTTCTCTCATGCCGTGAATCCCATTCCTGAGATTTCAAAACTATTCTTGTTTGCATTGGAATACCTGCCATTTTGTCCCAGCGACCAAGAAAATTTTGGCCATTTGTCTGAGATTTTGGAGTTGTAGCCATGACCAGTATGCCTGGCACCCATCCGTCAGGGCCACATCATCTTCCTGATGCACATATGCAAGGTCAAAGGCAAAACTAAGACCTTTAAAAGTTTTTTTGTAATCAAAGTCTGCCGTGGTCCACAGTAGTCTGGTAAGTGGGGTAGTGTCTTTAGGTATTGCTGTGTTTAAGTCCCTGCCCTGCCCAGCTTCCTCATCTCCAGATGAATACTTTAACCCTTGCGTTTCCTGCCCAGTGATGAATAAGTAATTTACAAAAAGTGGAAGACCTCTAAAGCAGGGAGGGACTAATTCATCAGAATGGTTTCCCCAGGATATTGGGGGCAGAAGCTCAGCTTTGGGGTCTGGAGCAGGGCAGAATCTGCACATGTATTTCCTGCAGCCCAGAAGAGACAGGTGCAGGGATCTCATTTCTTCTGGGTTTTGTTTAGGTTTTTTTACCTAATTTCCTCAGTCAAGGAAAATTTCACTGAATCTGAAATTTTCTAAAGGAAAACCCAGCAAACCACCATTTTACCCCGCCTAGAGCTAAAAAGTTTCTTTTTGCTGAAAAATACCTTGTTAGGAGTGATAGTAATTGCAAATCCTAAAGATTGCTATCAGCTCCTTGATCTTATTTCTCTCTTTTTCATTTTACAGGTCTACTTTGTCGAGGTGTTGCAATGCCCCTGCCTTTCTGTTCACCACCCAGAAAAATACTCCCTTGGGAACTAAACTGAAATACGAAGTGGATACTAGTGGAATCTTCCATATCAACCAAGAAATCTTCAAAATGTTTCCAAAGGTGCCTCATGCCTCTGTCCGTTTGCAGAATCAACTTCACCCTACTTGCTGCATTAGATGCTATCCTATAGCTAAGCATTTAGCAGTTGGCTGTTTGACATTTCTACAAACTTCATTGCGTACACTTTGAAAATGTTTATTTTTGTTATGATATTTTAGCTGATTATCCTATGTTCTAGTCGTCATCTGCTCTAGTATGCAATATATATATATATTTTCCTGCAGAATATTACTGACCTAGCAGCAAAGTGGCTAATGAAATAGCTTAAGAAAGCTGAGTAAAAGAGGCACTTACTGATCAGAACTTTTTGAAAGTACAATATTCCTATACGATAAATCCAACATTTTGGGTGGGTCTGCTTATTTAGGGGCATGATTATTTTATAATTCATATTCACAGTGACTAACTATTTTTATACTTATTTCTGTTTGCAGCTTATCTGTGAACAGGCTGCACAATTTTAAAATGTGTTCATCATAATGATTATTCAAAACCTTTTCAGCAAATAATCCTTGACCTGAGGGTCATTCAAAGTTATAACCAGTGGGCAATTCCCATTGCACATAGTGACTGATGTGCAGAAATGGGCTTATGTGGCTACTGATTTATCATGGGGCACACCTTATGAATTTAAAATGGCATATTTGGAGGGGATAACTGAAATTTATCCCTTTCAGAAAGTCAGAAAAATATGCAAGTTAAGTACTTAGATTTGTGTCATTAACGTCGTCCTTCAGGGTCTAGCCACTTTTAATCCATTTGCTTTCGGAGCACTACTAAGAGGTAGGGCAGTGCTGTTACCTAAATGTGCACATGGGGAACTGGGGCAGAGCAGGGGAAAGGCTCAGATCCAGGAAAGCACTTTGGCATCTGGAGACTTGCGAAAAATGGGTACACCTAAGTCCAGGTGTATTATCCTCAAAACCCTGCCTGTTTGCGCGGGTGAATGGATGAAAGACTAGATGCCTACGCTTTTGCTAGGAGTGTCCTATAGCTGCTGCTGTATTTATCCAGGTATGCCTTGAGGATGCTTTGCCGGCTCTATCCCATGCCAAAGTGCCTTTGGGATTCACTGGGCAGCACCTATGTGGCCAAAGCCACCCTCTGCCTAGGAGCAGGGCTGCAGCATGGCAAGCGTAGGAGATAAAGGGCTGAAAGCACGGGAACACAACTGGAAGGGCAAGAGCCTTGTGCTGAGCGCGGACACCTGGCTTCTGATCTCCCTTTCAGGACTGCCGAGGCATGTTGTGTTAAGAAATCTCTGGATAAAGCACAGACAAGTCTACATTGCCACTCTGTTAGACAGCTGCTGCTTTTCTCAGACAGGTGTAATTGCATGCCCTTTTGCCTCATGGCTTATGAATGCTATGGAAAGATCCTGGGAATAATCACCTAGAAACGTCATGTCACTATCTCATCCCTCTCTAGTTCGCGGTATGAAATTATTGATAAAATATGGATGTACCAAAACGAGCACTCTCATGCTTATATAAGCACATGTCTACATATTCATAAGGTGTAGCACCGCTCAGTTCTGCGTCGCAGCCCTCTCACCCTAACGGCCCAGTTCTGTTCTGGGAGATGTGATTTTTACCCTCTCCTGCTTCGGCAGCAGCTGCGTGTCTGCATATGAAGACAGAATTTTGCCCAAAGATTGCAGAAAGGTGCATCCTACACGAGTCCAGAAATGTGCCTGACCAAAGGCTCTAGGCACTCCTGGTAGTACAAGAGCTAATTAATGATCATTAACGCTATTAGTACAATTAGTGGTAGCAAGCGCTAAAATTTGGGCTAGGTTCTGATAAATAGCTGTAATGTGCTGTCTGACTTCAAGAGACTTCTTGGGCTTTACTAGCTGCTCTGGAACTATGTGTGCAGACTTCTCAAAAGCAGGACATCGGAGCCTGAGGAGCAAGCAGTTTGCAGGCAGCTCAGGAGGCAATGCCTGGGGAGCGCTAATTTTATGGTTCATGCCCTCATGTGGAAATCAGAAGGGAAAGCAAGTTTCTAAAATGACTTCTTCCATTATTAAGTCTGGACAAAACCGGGTTACTGCTTTTTTTCCCTCTGAGTTAGTTGCCCATACTATCTCTAATTGCACAGAAAACAATCCCATCCATTTAGGTACACCATGGGAATATTGCGGGCCAGAACCAGTGTCAACTTCCAAGATGCAGCTGCACCAAAAAAAGGAAAAAGTAAAAAAGGGACTTGTTGCGGCCACGTTTCGGGATATTTAACTGTTTCCTTCCTGTGATGTTGCAGGATATGCCGTACCACCGCTCCCAGTTTAAGAAATGTGCAGTGGTTGGGAACGGAGGAATTCTGAAGAACAGCAGATGTGGCCGGGAGATTGACAGTGCAGACTTCGTGTTTCGGTAATCACCACAGCACCATTTTTCTTTTTGCCTGTTTTAATGACAAATAAGGATTGCAAAGCTATTCTCTCTCACATGGAAACACGGGATTTGCCAACCTGGCCGTATCAAGCCTGCTTCTTGCACAAAAAGTGACGTTTCGAAAAAAACACCTCACTGTATAATATTTATTTAAAAATTATGCTTTGAGGAATTATTTCTCCCTAACTCCATGTGGTTAATCATTGACTCACTGACAAAGTTTGATGTCCTCATTCAGGATGTCCCCTGTTCCTCAGGTTGTGGATTTATCCTTCCGTGGACATTAGTCCAGGAGCAGTGTCCTGTGAATGTGGCTGAAATTTTCTGGGGCAGTTCTGAACCAGAGGTACAACCTCTATTGTGTGACAGGCGGCTTGGCCAGATTTTAATAGCTCCACGCTGTGCAGCTCACGTGCCTCGGAGGTGTGTTTCTGAAGTAGTGCAGAGCTCAAGTGCTGGATAATACGTGTCACAATAATCAGTACTGTAGACTCCAGGGTGTGCAGAGATGCCTGAGTAACGTTGAAGGTTGAGTCTCTTCATATTGTGCTCCCCACCATATGTGGAGTTATCCAGGTTTTGCACAGACTGGGATGTCCCACGACTTTTGTCCCTGGGTAATGGAATTCAGCAGCACTTTTATCATCTTAATATATAAGGGAAAGACTTCTTTATCATTGTATTGGGTTTGCGTGGCAAGGTTTTGGTAGCGAGAAGGCTACAGGCTTCTGTGAGAAGGTGCTAGAAGCTTCCCCTATGTCCGACAGAGCCAATGCCAGCTGGCTCCAAGGCCGAGCCCATCAGCGACGGTGGTAGCGCCTCTAGGATAACTTATTTAAGAAGGGGGGGGGGGGGCAACAGTGCGCCGCGG